AGCTGAGAAAAGAATTCATTAGTCAATTCTCTTCTCGGCATTACGGTAGAAAGACAGCGACTCACCTCGCCACCATCAGACAGAAGGAAGGTGAGACGCTGAGAGAGTATGTCACAAGGTTCCAGGAGGAGCAGCTGAAGGTCGCGCACTGCTCCGATGATTCGGCCATGTGCTACTTCCTCACCGGCCTGGCCGATGAGACCCTCACCGTGAAGCTCGGAGAGGAGGCTCCAGCAACCTTCGTTGAAGTCCTGCAAAAGGCGAAGAAAGTCATTGATGGGCAAGAGCTCCTCCGAACCAAAACTGGCCGACCTGAGAAGCAGATCGACCAGAAGAAACTAAACCAAGAGAAGAGGAAGGCTGATTCTAAGTCTAAAGACAAGGGATCGTCCTCTTCCGGCAGCAGAACCGAGTATCGTAGGTTGGAGAGCGGCCCCAGCCGGAGCCGACCTTATGAATGGTATACCCCAACCACCATCCCCATCTCCGAGATACTCATGAACATCGAGGAAGGCGGGATGGAAAAGCTCCTCAAGCGACCTAAAAAGCTCCAAGGAGACCCAGAAAAGCGCAACAAAGATAAATACTGCCGTTTTCATCGCAATCACGGCCATAATATGACAAGTTGCTGGGAACTGAAGCGCCAGATTGAAGACCTCATTCAAGATGGTCATTTCAAAAAGTTCGTAGGAAAGCCGAGGACCAACTCGGTAGAGAAGACGAAGAGAGAAAGCGTTCAAGGACGCCACCTCGTCGAGATGACCGACCTGCGGTCATCAACACAATATTCGAGGGCCCTAGTGGGGGCCAATCTGGAAACACAAGGAAAGAGCTAGCTCGCGAAGTCAGGCGCGAGGTATGCATCATTAGGGAGCAGAAGCCTACTTGCTCCATCACCTTCGGCGATTCCTACCTGGAAGGAGTTCATTTGCCTCATAATGATGCACTTGTGATCGCTCCTTTCATTGATCACGTCTTGGTCCGAAGAGTACTGGTAGATRGAAGCGCATCTGCCAATATCTTGTCCCTCCCAACATATCTAGCATTGGGTTGGACCAGGTCACAGTTGAAAAAGAGTCCAACACCCTTGGTTGGATTCTCTGGAGAATCGGTCTCCCCAGAAGGGTGTATTGATCTGCCGGTCACGATCGGACAAGATGCTACCCAAGTAACCCAGATGGCTGAGTTCGTGGTGGTCGATGGCAGGTCGGCTTAGAACGCCATCTTTGGGAGACCCATCATCCACTCATTCC